AACTCTTGGGCTTAAGTGATTCTCTTGCCTCAGCCTCCCAAGTAGCTGGGACTATAGGCACCCGCCATAACACCTGGGTATTTTTTTTTTGTTGTAGTTGTCATTATTGTTTTAGCAGGCCTGAGTCAGGTTTGAGCCTGCCAGCCCTGGTGTATGTGGCCAGTGCCCTAACCACTGAGCAACGGGCATCAAGCCTTTTTTTTTTTTTTTTTTTTGAGACTGGACCTTGGGTACAGTACCATGGTGTCCTAGCTCACAGCAACCTCAAACTCTTGAGCTCAAGAGATCCTCTTGTTTCAGCCTCCTGAATAGCTGGAAATACAGGCACCTGCACCACACGCAGCTGGTTTTTCTATTTTTAGTAGACATGGGATCTTACTCTTGCTCAGGCTGGTCTTGGACTGCTGATCTCAGGCCATCTACCTGTCTCACCTTTGCAGAGTGCTAGGATTACAGGTGTGAGCCACTGCACCTGGCCAAAAATCAGCTTTTAAGAATTTTTAATGATGTGGGAAAATGTCCCAATGTTATTGAAGATGCAGGATAAAAATTATACATGAGGATTCCAACTATGTAAAAATATAAATAAAAGATTAGAAGAATATATATCACAATTTTAACCATAGTAGTGATCTCTAGATTGTGGGAGAATAATTTTAATGTGATACTTAAACTTTTCTGAATTTATAAATTGTATATAAAGAAGATATATTACCTCTATAATCAGGAAAATTATTTATAAAGCATTTAATACCAACATCCAGATAGTGGTAATTACATGTAGTAATACTAAGTTCAGGCCTGCCTGACAAACCCAGGGCTCCTCTCCTGCAATATACTATGTATGCTAAAGGTTCATGCGTGCTGCTCAAGGATCACAATAAAATCGGGTTTCAGGGCAAATATTACTAAATGGGCAGAAATAACAATTTTATTCAAGTGGTCACATAATTATTTTTCCCCTATGATTTAGTTACTTGAACTCTGGACATAGCAACAAATGGCCAATTTCTACATAGGACTGGCACAAAACTAATGCCAACAATTAGCTATTTATACGACAAAAGGCACAGCTTACTTTATCTTTTTAGCTTTGAATCAAATATCTTTCCATGACAAGTATAGGACATTTCAGTATCTTATTTAAGCAGTAATGTCAGTTGCTACAGAAATGTCTTTGCTCTAATTTTGCTTTTTTAGTGTTATTTTTGCTTTCTGCTCTCTATGTACAGTAAGCTATGGACCTGAAGTATTTTCTCTCTTGCATACCTATTGCTGAGTTTACTTAGTCTTTCAGGATCAGCCCTTAAGACTTCCAAAATCCATGACCAAAGAAAAGAAAAATAAAACCCAAACCAGAAAAAGTCTACTTAAACCATTCAATACAAATTAATGGTGCCAAGGCCAGGGAATGTGTCTAAACAAAATTATGTTTAACCCATAATCCCACACTAAATGCAATTCCCACTCATCTAAGAGATAAGGCAACCCATTAGATTCATGTGGTCAGATATTCTTTTCCATAGCAACCACACAGTAGTAGTCAAGTGCCCATTTTCTCCTTCCTATAACACAGAAAGATACAAAGAACAGCTTGCACAGAAAGTTGATGATGATTTGATTCAAGCAGATAACAATGAGACAATGGTCAAAAGAAAGATCATGTTCCCTCTGATAAGGAGATGCCTTGAGGGGATAGGGTTTAAATAAAAGACCAAAATTATTTTAAGAAAGAAATCAAATGCCTGAACAAACATTTTAAAGAAGTTTATAGATTTCCAAAATAATATAATAATAAATAAAGGAAAACATGATTTGACATATAAAAATTAAAGAGGGGGGGGAGTTTACAATAAAACAGTAGTTAAAAAAATAACAAAACCCCATCCGTAAACCTTATGTGCTTTAAATATTTTACTAACCCTTCCTACAGTTATCAATTCCACAGCAATAACTGATAGCAACAATACTGGTAGTTCAAAGAAGTTTAGCATTAGAAAAGCAGATCATTATTTTTGATTTTTTATAAAGATTCTCACTAGTCACCTGATTTTTCTTAGGCTTACTCTAAATGGTTTGGGGGAGACAATGCTTATTTTATATGGCTGCATTAAGAAAACAGAGACTACAGGATAAAATGGTAAAATAAAAAATGCGCCCCCCAAAGTGCCTTAGATATAGTATTTTAAAAATATCTGGTGAAAGAAAATTAATTCAGTTTAGAAAAATACTCACTGTTTGAGGCTATGTCAATCAGAAGAGTTTCTTCTGCTTCTGTGGGAAATAAAAACAGGATCAGAGAAAACTATTTATTGTAGCAAAAAGACAATGCCTAAGTAAATAGCTGCATCTCTCGGTCACTACCCCTAGGTCTTAGAACATACTTTTTTTTAATCTTTTGCTTTTTTTATTTAGAATTTTTTTAAAAGGTTTTTTTTTTTTTTTTTTAGAGACAGTCTCACTTCATTACCCACCGTAGGGTGCTGTAATGTCACAGCTCACAGCAACCTCCAGCTCTTGGTCTTAGGCGATTCTCTTGCCTCAGCCTCTTGAGTAGCTGAGACTACAGCTACTTGAAAACAGTCAGAGCCCAATAAGGGAAAAAATGAATTTAGAGCAACTGAATTACAACTGAAAAGTGTACTTTAAGGGTATCTTCGGGTATACTTTTCCCCACAGCACTCTACTGTGAGGACTACAGGCACCTGCCACAACGCCTGGCTATTTTTTTGTTGCAGTTTGGCCGGGGCTGAGTTTGAACCTGCCACCCTTGGTATATGGGGCTGGCACCCTACTCACTGAGCCACAAGCACCACCCTAAAAATGATTTTAATAGCACTAAGTGCTAAGTAACCAAATGGAACTCTTCAAAGCATCTCAAGGAATGACAAGTTAATAGTAGGGAACATAACACCATGTTAATTCAAATGAAGGCAAGTTTAATTCCCACTAAGATACTAATTTAATATAATCTAATTGTGTCCTTTAGATACTTCTTATAGAAAGCCCAGGAAATGGCCCTGAAGGCCCTGGAAGTGAATTAGTTTCTTAACTCAGATCTATTCTCTGAAAGTTTCCCAATAATTTCCTTACCTCTGCCCCATATAGGAGCAAAGTGTACCCGAAGATACCCTTAAAGTACACTTTCAGTTGCAATTAATACATGCCTATGGGCCCAAGGCCTACCTTACCCAAAAGGTATAAAACAATGCAAATCACTTTGTAAGTTTGGAGTTCTTTTTTCACCTGATGCCTCTCTTAGATTTTCTTCCTTACCTCTAGTGTCTAGACCCAACCTATCTCTTCCTCTCTGATTTCCCTGGATTTGACCAACAGCACCTGCCAGACTCTCTGGGCTAACTGAACTCTGGGGGATTAGCCTGGATCTACAATGGTCAGATGGAGTAGTCTCAGCCTTGTCTATCTTCTTCCCAAGAGTGAACTGTATACTTGGCTCCATTATTCAGGTACAAGAGAAATGGGTAAGGAACTAAGTTGTCTAACATTAGAAAGTAGTCTCAATACTATCACCAGCATTGATTAAGCAAGAGAAAATAAGGCATTAGGTCACAGGTATTATTATGTTTACCACTGTTCTTCAGTAACTTCTAGTTCTGTAAAACCTAAACATTTACAGTTTTCAAAATAGATGCACAGGTAATAAATAGAAGGTGAAAACGAAAGGATATAACTGTCCATTTCATCATGGGGAACTACTGTATATATGTGTTTATATTTTCCCAGATCCCAAGAAGTAGCACTACAATATATCAGCTGTCTATTTCTTATTAAAAACAATACTAAGAGAAACAGGGTAAAAGAGACCAAATGAGTAGTACAAAAAGGCAAAAAACTAATAGGATACTAATTTAAAGTCATGTTCTTCTTTTTCCTCTGCAAAGAGCTATACCTCGAAAAGTGAGGTAACCACAGCATGTGGTTTCATTTTTTTTTTTTTTTTTGAGACAGAGTCTTACTTTGTTACCCTCAGTAGAGTGGTGGTGTTATAGCTCACAGCAACCTCAAACTCTTGGGTTCAAGTGATTCTCTTGCCTCAGCCTCCCAAGTAGCTGGGACTACAGGTGCCCACCACAACGCCCTGCTATTTTTAGAGATGGGGTCTCGCTCTTGTTCAGGCTGGTCTTGAACCCATGAGCTCTGGCAATCCACCCACCTAGGCTTCCCAGAGTGCTAGGATTACAGGTGTGAGCCACGGTACCTGCCTTTGGTTTCATTGTTTAATGTTTCTTTCACATAGGGGAGGCTTAATAGCTATGACTTGATTCTACTATACAATGTGGACAATATTCATTGAAGGCATTTTTAATTCTTAATATATGCTGCCTTAAAAGTCATAAACCACAGACTTAGTATTTTCACCTACAGGAATAAATCCTGAGGAAATGTGTAGGAAGATTTATGTAAAGAGAGGTTCATCACATTACTATTTATACTACTGAAAAATAACCCAAATGTCAAATACAGAGAAATAATTACATTATGGATCATTCATAAAATAGAGTAATATACAGCCATTAATGCCATGGAAAAGTACTAATATTATGATGGTATGTGGAACAGATAAAAAATTATATAGGAAGAGTATCCTCCACCTAGAAAGTTATATGTAGAAGAAAGGAAAATATCAGGCATTTATCTGGGAAAGACGGGCATGTAGGTGACCTTTTTAATGGTTTTCTGTTCTTTCCAAACTTTTCGTCACTTTTGTGAAGATAAAAATTCAATGTAGTTTAAGAAAGAATACATGCAAGGTAGGATATGAGTTTTCCAAGAAGCTACAACTGATAAAGTTTCTGCCTAATGAAACCACCAGACCTGCTGGAAACAGAATGCACTTGTCTCTAGTATCAATTTCCTTTCCAGAGCAATATGAGATGACAGAAGCAACACCTCCTACACAAACCTCCCAATTTTTAAGTTTCATTGTAGCAGATGAAACAACAGATTTTCTGTGTTCAGCCTCAAATTTGAGGGCAAGAAGCCAGATATTTCCTCCCTAGAGTTGATGTTATAATTCACCAATGTCAAGGTCTGAGAATCAGCGCAATTGAACATAAGAAATTACAATCTGGCAAAGTGTGTTGCCAAATGTCTTAATTCCAAATAGTGTGGAGGAGAAAAATGGTAAATGTGTGTGAATCCAAAAGACCTGGATACTTTACAATGAACACTGTGTCCAAGAATGTCATTTAAGTTCATATATAGGCCAGTTAGCATAAAAGACTATCTACATAGTTAACAGTCTACATACATCTCTAATCTCAGCCAAAGAAAAGGTGACCCATAAATCCCTGCAAATTAAGCAATATATTTCAATATAACCCTTCATCACTCTTAGACAAAGCATTTATCATTTTCTCAGTGTTATCTTTTTATACAGAGTAATATATTTCATTTTTCATGCAGTGACAAATTAATATATGTATGGTATAATGCAATAATGACAATAATTACCAAGGAAAAATATTAGGAAATTAGCTAAGCAAATAAAGCTAGTACCTTGAACACATCTGAAGTGGCTATTTATAGGAATGATATCTTGAACATGCTGTTCCTTCTCATACAACTGGATTATTAACCTAGGAAACAGAAGAATGCATCAATGAATAGTTACTGAAAAACCCAAACATTTAGCAACAAAATACTTTGCTGTCTTATTATATAAATCTAGTCTGTATTCATTAGATTGCATCTATTACTAATTCCCTGGATCTGAAAATTATGACAGCTAGATACTGCTCTATGTCTAAAAGGATGTTAGTGGTGATCAATATCTGAATTCCCACACTGCCATATGTCCAGAAAATAGCTTACATGCTTAAGTGCATGAATCATAGAGCAAGCACACCAGAATAAAGAACTAACAGCTAGATGTGAACTCTATTGAGGGCAGGGACTTAGGCTGTCTTTTCATCATAGCATTTCTAGTTCCTAGCATAGAACATGGCACATAGCAGTTGATCCTGTGTGTTAAATCAATGAATTAGAAAATTCATAAACCAGCTTTCCAATTAAATGCCCATGACTTTTACCGAACAATGTTCTTATCTCTTCAAATAGGCACTGAGGGTTAATGCAGGCAGAAGTGGGGATGCCTAGCCAGCTAGATTAGTCAAAACACAGGTGACCAAGGTAGCAGACATCAGACTGCCTTCATTCTCCTCGTGTTTTTCCTCTGGCTTCCAACTTCATTTTGGTATTTCTATGTAAACATGAGTTAATTTGGCTCACCATTATGAAGTGCAAGACTTCTAAATCCATATGTACTCTAAAGTATTAATTTTCATTTATAACTTATCCTTAGTGGCCTAGAATCAAGGTATGAACTACTGGAAAACAGCCATTCTGAATGTCAACTAGCTCTTCCAGTCAAACACTCTTCAGGTGGTTCTGTTTGTTTTTGCAAGGAAGACTCCTCTCTTTTTCCTGAGACCCATCTCAAATATTACCCCCTATGTGAAGCTTTCTTCAATATCCCCCAAGCAGAACCAGTGGCCTTATCCACTCTCTTATAGTTATTCATTTCTCCTCACCAATTTGAGCTCCTTGAAAGGACTCGATAATATTCAGTTTTGTCTGCAGCCTAACAGATGCTCAACAAATACTGGTTGAATAAATTAACTAGCTTAATTAAGCTAAAAGTAGAGGTGAATTTCTAAATATAACTGTTCAACTTCTGTCATTGTTTTAAAGAGTTTGATTTCTATTTTGCTTTCTCTTTGGGGTGCTTGTTATTTTAGCTTTTTGGACTTTTTTCAAATGTGTTAACTTTGAAGGGGATAATCTGGGTTAAGTGCTTAGATAGAACCCAAGGAAATAAAAACATTAATGCTTTTTTCCTGCTTTGATCTTGCTTTACTGATTTGTAGGGGTTTATATTTTAAGGTGATTACAGAAATATGGGGCAGGCACCTTTTAAGCCAGAAAGTTCATGAGTTGAGCAGAGTGTCCTATAAACTCAGATGGAAACAAGAAACCAGATAAAGGGCTGAGAAAGCACTGGTCAAAGAGGAAGAGCTTAGTCTTAGAAAACTGAAAAGGAATCACTATAATCTCAAAATATGTAGACTAGAAATGGCATTGAACATTAGCAGTAAAGCTTCAACTGGGCTGTAATGCTAAAAACCATCACAAACAGGGTTGGCAAGGAACTTGAAGAGAAACTTCTCTGAAGAAAACAGGCGCACAGCGTACAGATATATGAAAAAATGCTCTTTATCCTTAATCACCAGAGAAATGCAAATCAAAACTACTTTGAGATATCATCTAACTCCAGTAAGATTAGCCCACATCACAAAATCCCCAAACCAGAGATGTTGGCGTGGATGTGGAGAAAAGGGAACACTTCTACACTGCTGGTGGGAATGCAAACTAATACGTTCCTTTTGGAAAGATGTTTAGAGAACACTTAGGGATCTAAAACTAGACCTGACATTTGATCCTATAATTCCTCTACTAGGTACATATCCAGAAGACCAAAAATCACACTATAACAAAGATATTTGTACCAGAATGTTTATTGCAGCCCAATTCATAATTGCTAAGTTGTGGAAGAAGCCCAAGTGCCCATTGACCCACAAATGGATTAATAAATTGTGGTATATGTACACCATGGAATATTATGCAGCCTTAAAGAAAGATGGAGACTTTACCTCTTTCATGTTTACGTGGATGGAGCTGGAACATATTCTTCTTAGCAAAGTATCTCAAGAATGGAAGAAAAAGTATCCAATGTACTCAGCCCTACTATGAAACTAATTTATAGCTTTCTTATGAAATCTATAACCCGATTATAGCCCAAGAATATGGGGAAAGGGGAGAGAAAGGATGGGTGGAGGGAGGGTAATTGGTGGGACCACACCTACAGCGCATCTTACAAGGGTATGTGTGAAATTTACTAAATGTAGACTATAAATGTTTTAATACAATAACTGAGAAAATGCCATGATGGCTATGATAACCAGTTTGATGAAAATATTTCAAATTGTATATAAAACCAGAACATTGTACCCCATGATTGCATCAATGTATACAGCTACAATTTAACAAAAAAAATAAATAAATAAATAAATAAATAAAATCATCTGTGATCTAGGCTATGAAACTGTGAGGTTAAAAAAAATTCAGGGTATGTTGCTACAGCTAAAATGAAGGAAGACTATATACTTTAGAAAGCTATTGGCAAAGTATTTATCCCAAATGCATATCATTCAGACCACAGTGATAAGTGATATAACTATAGGTATTTTAGAGTGGTTTAAGTTGTGTTTGATATGTGTATACGTCTTTGTAATGACAAATGAACAAATTTATTATCAATGGGTTAAAGAATGAATTTTGTAGAATCCCTAGCAGACTGCCTATTGTAAAATAAATAACATGGATTTGAAAAAACAAAAACAAAAAAACCATCACAAAACAAAGATAAACTTAACATTTAAGCGAATTCTACAAGTATTTATTAAACATCTGCTATGTGTTAGCTACTAAATAAATTACAGCAAAGAACAGGGTTAAGAATAAGCATAAAAGATCTACCTAAATGTAATTATTCACTTCAGAACAGAAAGAGTAAAAATAATAGGTATATAGCAAAACAGTGGAAATCAGAATTTGGTAGTTCTCAGCAGAAAAGAATGACAAACTGTGAGTGCAACTCAGCATTATCCCCAGGAATACTTTGATTTGTTCAAGGAAGGTCAAGCAACAATTTCTGCCATAATCTAATATCCGTCAAAAAAAAAAAAAAAAGAATTTTAGTGTTTGATTCCCTATTCCCCCCCAATATTATTTATTTTAATTTTAATTTTTATTTTTTGAGACAGAGTCTCACTATGTTGCCCTCAGTAGAGTGCCATGGCATTACAGCTCAGAGCAACCTCAAACTCTTGGGCTTAAGTGATTCTTCTGCCTCAGTCTCCAAGTAGATGGAATAACAGGCATCTGCCAAAACGCCCGCCTATTTTTTGTTGCAGTTGTCACTGTTTAGTTGGCCCGGGATGGGTTCAAACCCGCAAGTGTTGGTGTATGTGGTTGGCAGTGTAACCACTGTGCTATGGGCGCTGAGCCTCAAATTTTAATTGTAATTTTGGTCTCTCAAACAAATTTCTCCCTTGGTTGACAGTAAGTACGACAGACCAAAAGATTAAGACAGACTTAAAGTTCCAGGATAAAAAAGCTAAAAGTAAAAAGTTCTGGATGCTCAAGTCAGAGAAGGCAAGAGATAAGAATTTGAGGATTATCGGTGGTATCATGATATTACATGTCTCAAATAAATGACTTCAAAAGAAACTTCTCAATCTAATTCTGAGATATGTTACATAGGTTCAGAGCTCACTTATGCTACTTCCTAACTGTGAACAAGTAACTTAATCTTTCTCTGCTTCAATTTCTATATACAAGGGAAGGGGTATGATGATAGTACTGCAATTTCATATTAAGGCTCATGGGCAAATTAAACGAACTAATTAATGAAAAGTGCTTTCAAGAGTATCTGACACACACCAAGCCATCAAGTACTAGTTGTTGTTATATTCCCAACATACAGAATGGGAACACAAGAATTTGATTTCTCTGTGGGAAAGGATACAAATAGTCACAACAACTTCCACCAACAAGTTTAAAAGTCCTGCTAGCACAAGAGCTCAGACAGGATAAGGTACCTCTCTTAAGGGCAGCTGCTCATTCCCTTATTAGCGGAACTGAATTCCAAACCTACTAAGCCAAGGGACCAGATCTTGGGCTGTGGTCATCTCGACAAAGTGGCTATCTATTCAATTTTCATAATTCTGTTTCTACAGAAGAGAAAACCAAAGCACAAAAACTTTACTGGTTTGCCTGAGGGTCACATCTTTCTACCCCATATTAGCCTTTGGAAATATTAGTGGTGTTCTGCTTTTTCAGTTCACTTTTCTGTTGAATTTAGTTTTATTAAACTGATCTTCCAGGGTTTGAAGAAAACCGGGGAAAATAACATGAACTTCCCATAATGACAGACCTGACATATTAACAAAGTAGGACATAGAATTAATGGATGTCCAGTTACAGTGGCATCAACAGTGCCAGAGAAGAGCAGGCTAGGTCAGTGGAAATTTCTTTTATGTATATTAGACAGCATAGACACAGAAGATCTAAAAGTAGAGACTGAGAAAAATTGCTTATAGATCGAATCCAATGTTGGGAGATGGCAGGATTTAAGTGAATAATTTTTAAACTTAGAAGAAATCTGATGTCAAGAAACCAACCAACAATGAAGGGAAGTGGCTTGGGCACACAGTATCAGACTTACAATACAAGCATATAATGGTCACCATGGATACTTTTTTTTTTTTTGAGACAAGGCCTCAAGCTGTTGCCCTAGGTAGAGTGCCATGGCATCACAGCTCATAGCAACCTCCAACTCCTGGGCTCAAGCGAGTTTCCTGCCTCAGCCTCCGTGTAGCTGGGACTACAGGCGCCCTCCACAACACCCAGCTATTTTTTGGTTGCAGCCGTCATTGTTGTTTGGCGGCCCCGGGCTGGATTCGAACCCGACAACTCAGGTGGATGTGGCTGGCACCTTATTAGCTTGAGCCACAGGCGCCCAGCCCATGGATACTTTTAGGATGAGGCACTTAGTGGCAATGGGATGAGGCTGGGAGCTATGGTGATAGCTTACCAAAATCATCTTTTGATCAAGCAGCCGACAGTATTTACTGAGCTCCTATGTCCAAGCCAGAGTGGAAGGTGACACAGACTGATAAACGTCAAATGTCATTTATGTTTCTACACATTTCATTACCTTTCTTTCCAACATTCAAGTCAGCAAGTGAGGCAGTTACTGGCTTACACTACACCATTACTGAATTAATGAACCTGCCTTGGAACAAGTGGATAAGGGGGTAAGGAGACTGAATGGGGTTAGGAAAAGACAAATCTATAACATTAACAATGAAGCAAGTCAATAGCACTTTTACTTTTTGTAAACCACTTTCACATTTATTATTCCCTAGTTGTAGCTCCAGGTAAGACAGTTAATGTTTATAGTCAACTGATGAGTTAACTAAGGCCCAGAAAGCTTTATTGACGTGTCCAAGGTTACACAACACATGTCAGTTACAGGGGCAGGAACTAAGAACCCAGGCTTCCTGCTTCCCCGCCCATTGAGTCCTTCCACTGAGCCACACTGCCAGGCATTATCTAGAGGCTTGGAAGTTTGGGGAAAAGTCGTGAGGTTAGAATGCATGGGAACATCACACCTGGGGCTGAACCTGTTTCCCGCATGGCCTCAGTGAGAGGAGGGTGGGTGGCTCTTTGCGGTTTGGGGTTGGGAAGTAATGGCAAGCTCCCCTTCTCTGTGGCAATCAGGTGGTTACTTACTCATATTGACCATTCCTTTGGGCAAGGGTCAGGGCGCAAGGCTCCCGAAGAGGACCCTTCATCTCCATACCCTCGATAGTATGCGGGCGCTAGTCAAGGGTCTTTTTTAGAAGAGCGACCGGGAAGGGGTGGCGCGCTGGGGAGCTAAGGAGGTCTCCCGCTCTCCCTCCCCCACCGCCCTGCCCCGTTCCCCAAGCGTCGCCTCCGCGCCGGCCCCCTCCCCCGCTCTGCTTGGCCTCTAGGCCTAAAAGGCTCCCCACCTTGCAGCGTTCCACAGTCCCCCATCCCCACCCCTGGCCCTGTGTGCCCTCCCCTCCCCCTTCTCTCTGGCGGATACAGCAAGGGGCTGGGCTCCGACCGGGAGAGGCGTCTCCATCCGGGCGGCCTGCGGGCTCAGCGGGGCGGCGGACTGCGGCTGGATCGGACGACACAGCCTCCCGCGTCCTCACGCCCACCCGCCTCCGCTGCTCGTCTTTTGGGCAGCAGGTCGGCGCCGGGAGCCGGGAGCCGGAGCCCGGAGCCGGGAGAGGAGAGCCGAGAACCTGACCCGAGAGAGAGCGGCGCCTCGCGCCCCCGCCGGTTTTCCAGGCCGCCGCAGATTCCGCCCTCTGCGGCCAACCTGCGGAACTACAGCGAGACACCCGACGGACAGGGGTCTCTACCACGTCTAGCAAGGAATGCGTCTTAAATGTTACCTGTGACACTAAAATCTTTCTGAGGACTTCGAAGATTGCCACAGAAACAAAACACGGTCATACCTATGACGGAACTCTACAGTGGAGAAAAATGCCTCTTAAGGTTATAATGCACCGTGTTGGTTATTCTTCTACTCAGATGTTCTCCCCTTCCTCTTCTATTTCCTAAATAGGAAAATTCACCAAAATACATACCTTAAGTCCTCCTTTGTGTCTGCTCCAGGTCACCTCCAAGCAGGCAATGTCCAAATATATATTCCTGGCTCAGAACCCCTACCTAATGAATCCCACTGTTAGAAGAACATTGTGTGACAAAACTAACTTACCATTTTCACAAAACTGTTCAGGCTTGAAACTTTAAAGGGTATGCATGCTTTATTTCCCTCTTTTATTTAATCTCTATATCTAATCAGTCAACAAACAAACTAGATTAATATTTTCTTTGCAATTAGTTTTAGATTCTTTGTTTTCCCTCCATTAGCAATGCCATCACCTATTATAAGCCCTTGTGATACCCTATCTTGATTATTGCATTTCCCCCAAGTAAATCTTGTTGGCTCTACTCTCTCTTTGACCCTTTTACTCTGTTGACAGCCATAAAAATATTCTTCCCTAAGTAATTTTTCAATTGTGTTATTCATTTGCTTGAGAATCTATAACAGGCTAGTCTCAAGACAGATTTTAAAACTGTGGTAATTAAGAGTATATTATAAGGCTTGGTTCCTGTGGCTCAAGTGGCTAAGGCGCCAGCCACATACACCTAAGGTGGCGGGTTGGAATCCAGCCCAGGCCTGCCAAACGACAATGATGGCTGCATCCAAAAAATAGCCGGGTGTTGTGGTGGGCACCTGTGGTCCCAGCTACTTGGGAGACTGAGGCAGGAGACTCACTTGAGCCCAGGAGTTGGAGGTTGCTGTGAGCTGTGATGCCATGGCACTCTACCCAGGGGGACAGCTTGAGGCTCTGTCTCAAAAAAAAAAAAAAGAGTATATTATAAGCTGGTTGTGGTGGCTGAGCCTGTCATCCTAACACTTTGGGAGGCTGAGGTGGGAGGAGCTCAGAAGTTCAAGACCAGCCTGAGCAATAACGATATCATCTCTACTAAAAGTAGAAAAACTAGCTGAGGGTTGTAGTGGGGACCTGTAGTCCCAGCTATTTGGGAGGCTGAGGTAGAAGGATAGCTTTAACCCAGGAGTCTGAGGTTGCTGTAAGCTAGGCTGACCCCATGGTACTCTAGCCCGGGCCAGTAAGACTCTGTCTCAAAAAAAAAAAAGAGTATATTATGAAAACAATTAAAAATAGTATATTATGGAGATAGACAAATGGAACAGAATAGAGCCCCAAACAGAACCACACATATATGGAGAGTTGAACCTATTCGGCATGTGTGATGTTTCAGATCAGTGAGAAAAGAATGAATTCTCCACTTAATGGTACTGAGACTATTGATTATCCATATGGAAAATTAAAAAAAATAGATCCCTACCTTAAATCATAGAGGAAAAACCAATTCCAACTGGATTAGGGATCTAAATGTGAAAAGCTAAACTTTATAACTCTCCGAAGAAAAGAGAAAAATATCTTTATGATCTTGGAATAGGGAATGAGAATGATATATTTAGCTACATTAAATTTCAAAATTTGTGTACTTCAGGACAACATAAACAATTTAAAAGACAAGGCACAGACTGGGAGAAGACATTTTCAATACATACAGTTAACAAAAGGTAACCTATGAAGTTTTATACTTCTGGCTGTCATCGCCTGACTTCCTTTCCCACGATTTTCTCTGACGCTCTGAGCTTAGCCACACTGGCTCCTTGCTGTCTCATCTTAACCCATCGTACTCTTTGCTTCAGAGGCTTTGGACTTGCTGTTCTCTCTGCCTGCACTCTCAAATGCTTCAGGTCTTTGCTCAAATGTCATTTTCTCAGTGAGGCCTTCCTACGCCACTTTATTTAAAATTGCAACTCAACTACCCCCTTCTCTACTCCCATATAAGCATGTTCCCTATCCCTCTTCCCTGTTTATTTTTCTCTGTAATATTTATCACTATCCACTATTCTATCTACTTTACTTATCAATCTTATTTATCATTTACCTTCCCTCACTAGTTTGTGAAGGCAAGGATTTTTTTTCTATTTTGTTCATGGCTGCATTTTCAGGGCCTAGAATCATTGCTGGAACAAGTTAAATGCTAGAAAAATATTGAATGAATGAATGAATGAGTTAGTATCAAGGATGTATAAGAAGTCCTATAAATAAGTATGAAAGAAAGAAACATGGTAGAAAAAAAAATATCTGAATAAGCGATTCATAGTTGAGGAAACCCAAATGGCAAAAAATACATGAAAGAATGCATAACTTTATTACTATTTAGAAAAACTGAAAAATAAAATCATCAGATACCATTTCACAACCATCACTTTGGAAAATATTTTAGAAGTCAGACAATATCAACTGTTGAAGACGTAGAAAAGATAGAACTCTAATCCACTGCTAGAAGGAGTATAAGTTGGTAGAACTATTGTGAGGAGCAATTTGACAATGTCTAATAAAGTTGAGAGTGTAATGCCCTTCAATTTAGAAGTTCTATTTCTAAGTTTGGTCCTAGCAAAACTCTGACCTTTCATATGCACAGAGTTATATGAAAGAATGTTCCCTGTAGCATATTTGTAATCTCAAAATAGAGAAGCAAATTAAATGTTAGCAGGTGAATGTATAAATCAATCATGGTATTCATAATGAATGAATTTAGCTGTAAGTAACAGAGTTAAATCTCAAAAAGAGAATACAGATCAAAAAGAAAATTAAACAATGTGTATGATATACTATTTATAGAATTCCTGAAAATATCATTTATTGCTTCTGGTTACATAGTTATGTAATGCTATAATAGTATCTAAAACATGAAAGAGCATGATCACCAAATTTAAGGAAGGCGGAGGATTGAGAATGGGGACAGGCAAACAGGGAATATCAACTGTATCTGTAATATTTATTTCTTGAGACACAATCTGAAAGTTGATGTTGCAAGATTTCATAGAACCAGGTGGTGGGTACATATATTGGTTGTGTTATCCCATGTACTTTCCTGCCTTGAAGATCATTTGCGGTCAAGGAAAATGATAAGAAAATGAATATGTAGGAGAGGGCTAGCAGTATTGAATTCTGAAAATGGGATAGGAAAAATAAGAGTCAAGAGACTCTCGCTGGAGACTGCTAAATGTGTGGTTTCAATAAGAGGTAAGGATAAAAATAAGATTATAGGGAACTGAGAAGGGATCGTATCATGAGGAAATGGAGACAAAAGACCATGAATTGAAAAGACATGGAAATAAGAAGGAACAAAATACAATTTTAACTAAGTTAGTCAGAAGGGTCAAACAGAGGTTTGTGACAAGGCCTGAAGCCACTTTAAAGCAAACAGGAAGGAACCAGCAAAGCAGTAGGCTTTAAAGATATCAGAAGAGAGAGGCAGAAAGGTTGGAAACCAAATCCGTCCATAATTGGGGAAAATATCCAAGGTGGAAATGGAGGAATCAGTCTTAGAGAAAAGGTAAGATACTTCGTCCTCCAAGTCTATAGTATCCCCAGTACCTAAAATAGTACCTTGCATATAGTCGGTATGCAATAAATGTTTTGTTAATTAAGGAGATATATTGAGGTAAAGACAGTAAAAACTGAGGTCTCTCACAGGGGAAATGATGATTACATTTAGGGGACATCCAATGCAGAGTTAAATGGTCATTGAACAAAATTTAAATAAATGAAACTCTAGCTAAGAAAACATGAGCCTCACCACATTCACCACCCATCTCTCACACATTCATATGTACACATGCACATAATTAAGTGGGTGCTTAGTGCCTGTCTTTTATCCATTAGACAATTATCTAAGTGTCTAAAACATATGCTTTTCAGAGACAAAATTAAAATCTGAAATCCTGGTCATTACGCTGGCTCATGCCTGTAATCCTAGCACTCTGGGAGGCTGAGGTGGGTAGATTGCTTGAGCTCAGGAGTTTGAGACCAGCCTGAACAAGAGCAAGACCCCGTCTCTACTAAAAATAGAAAAACTGAGGCAAGAGGATCTCTCGATCCCAGGAGTTTGAGGTTGCTGTGAGCTATGATGACACCATGGCACTCTACCCAGGGCGACAGACAGAGTGAAACTCAATCTCAAAAAAGAAACAAACAAACAAAAAAACCCCCAAAAGCTTAAATCCTTAAAAAGGGTAAAAATACTAAAAGAAAACAAACTCATAAGTAGTAATTTAATTATAAAAGTAAAATACGTATCAAGTTCATTAACAGTTAAATTTAGTATTTATTTTAAAACCCATTATATTTCACAAGCATGTAAAAATTTAAAAAAAAAAACATTATATTTGACAACAGTTTTTAAGTTGGATCATCATACTTCCAAAGAATTCCCAAGAACGCATAATTTTTATGGAGAACTCACAGCCATTATAAATTAAATTAGTGTTGCACAGATAAAATATTTCAAAAGCAAAATCACAAAAGCCATTTTCAAAATTTATAGAAAAATATAAATGTTTAATGTAAGATATAGATACATTGTGATATGTTTATTGTGATGCTGTGGCTGAAGCCTCAAGAGAGGGGCCTATAAAGGCGAAAACAGGGCTGCTTCACATAGATGAAGCTGGGAAGAAGGATACTGTGTAGTGAGTCAGCAGCCAGAAGCTGGAAGGCAGGCCTTGCAGAGGCATAAATGATTCATTGATTTTTAAATCACCACTGGTTGAAAAGTCTCACTTTTCATATACATAAATGGATTCCATACTGAGCAATGTAAAGAAGAGCTTAGTTTTATTTATGCATTTCTGTTTTACATTCCTGTGGCATATTTTTACTTAGGCATTTCTACTTTACTTACACCTTTTTATTTTCACTTCTTATAGAAATTGGGGTGGGAAAGGTTCATTACCTGGGGCCACAGCTTATCACCTCCACTGTCGATGAGATGGTGACAGGCGTAGCAGGCAGCAGAAACTGGCCTCCTTTGGCACACAGTCCCCTCCAGGCGCTTCT